GCGAGATCTACTTGCCTTTCGGGCCGGGGACCGATGCGATGCGCATGCATTCCGCCGGCAAGAGGCATCAGAAGAGGTTGAGCGTGTGGACAGCTACGCAGCGGCGCAACGGGCGGCCAGCCAGCACGCAGGTTCTGCTCCCGCATGTTGCGAGCATGTTGCAGGACAGCGACATGCGGACTACCGCCGAAATGGCGCACTACCGCCGAGCCGCACCGCTGCACACGGTCGGCGATGTCAACGCGCTGCAGAGCGGCCGAGCGCATGCGGAGGCGGAGGTGAGGTGCGCAGTGGGGCAGATGCTGCACGTGATTTGCCACGCTCACGGCGAGAGCGACGGGTCCCGAGACTTGGGCGCGGCCTACGCGGGGCGGTCCCGGCTATGGGCAGTTGCCGGCTCGGGCTCCTCCTCGCCCGACCTCACCGACGGAGACGACGTTGCGTCGGTCGTGGAGGACTTGGTCGCTTCGGTCGTGCAACAGCAAGCACCATATCTTGCGCAACATGTGCGTGGCAAACGTGTGCGTGGCAAACGCCAATCGTCGTGCAAACGCAAGGCCAAGCGACGGATAGCTGAGCGAGACGCCGCGGCGAGCGCTAGCACGGCGAGCGCCGCTGGCACATCCACTGAAACGTGTGGTGGCTGGCCTGAGCTGGAGGTAGAGGGGTAGAACGTTCGGATCGCGCTTCTCATCGCAAACCCCGTCACCCGTCAGCAGTCCTCCTTCCAGCTTCCTCCGGGAATGTACATAAGAGCTACATATACACTGACAGTGACCAGATAGCCGCACACGCCAGACCGATACGCGTTCGGGTCCGCGACAGTCTGCAATCTAGCGGACTATACGGCGCGACTACCGGTGCCGGTGCGCTGTGAGAGCAGGGCCGCCCTGTGGTGCCGGGGCATTCGTCTACCCGGGTACCCGCCGGCGCGGCTCCGCTGCTAGGGGAGTCTGCCCTCCTAGCCCGACCCCTTTGGTGGCTGTTGCTGCGGTAGCGGCTGGGCTGCGGCCCAGAGACAGCCACCATTTCGTCTCCCGTTGGCTCCTGGGAGGAGCTCCACCGCATCGCGGCCGAGCACTTTGCCGACGACTTGCCGGTCGACGAAGGGATGCTCTCATGGTCCAAAGCCTCGCTCGCAGCGTACTTTGAGTCTGGGGTGAACTCTCACGCCACCGCATCCCGGCCGAGCGAGCCTGGCCAGGGCCGCCTGTACGCTGTGAGCGACGTGCACACCGACAAACCGGAGAATATGGCCTGGTGGCGCCGTCTCGAGGAATGCGGCGCTCATCGAGCCGACTCGCTCATCCTGGCTGGTGATGTCTCGCACCGGCCAGACGTGCTGCTCGAGACGCTACAGATCGCGGCGCGCGCCTTCCGCACGGTCCACTTTGTGCCGGGCAACCACGACTTGTGGGTGCGCGGCGGCGGCGGCGGCGGCGGCGGCACCTCAATCGACAGGCTGCTGGAGATTGAGGCGACGTGCGCTCGGCTCGGCGTGTGCACGGCTCCGGCGCTGGCGGCAGGCGCCATCGTCGTGCCCATCCTGTCGTGGCACCACCCGTCCTGGGACACGGAGCCCGACATCTCTGGCTGGAGAGGCATCCCTCCCGTCGAGCGCTGCCTGATGGACTACCACATGACGCGCTGGCCTCCCGGCGTGCGGCAGGAAGACGGCTCCGCCGCGGCGGCGGTGGACGAGCTCAACGACAGGCCAAGAGCAGGCGGCGGCGGCGGCGGCGGCGACGGAGGCGGCGGAGGCGGAGGCGGCGGAGGCGGAGGTGGAGGAGGCGGAGGAGGCGGAGGAGGAGGAGGAGACGGCGGCGGCGGGCTGCTCGGCGCTGTCGAGGAGCTGCGCCGCCTCCACCCCTCGGCGCCGGTGGTGACGGCGTCGCACTTTGTGCCTCGCGTGGAGCTGTCTCCCGAGAAGCGGTACCTCTTCCTCCCCACCCTCGCCAAGGCAATTGGCTCGGAGCCGCTGCGGGCGAGGTGATCCATTGCGATTCACCTCACGTCCCTCTCTCTCTCTCTCTCACGCCTCCCTCTCTCTCTCTCTCTCTCTCTCTCTCTCTCTCTCTCTCTCTCTCTCTCTCTCTCTCCGATTTGACTCGATGTCATTCCATCAGGGTGGAGGCGCTGCGGCCGGACGTGCACGTCTTCGGGCACACGCACTTCGGCTGGCGACCGCCCCTTCGCACGCGCGCGTGGCACCGCAGCACCGCGGCCCGACACTGCGGCCTTGCCGGCTGTAGGGACGCGACCCTCGACGGCGTCCGGTACGTGCAAGCCGCGCTCTCGTACCCGGAGGAGCGGCGTGGCCGGCTTGGCACCATCGCGACGGGAGACCACTTCCCGCACGGCGGCGGCGACGAGCCGGCGCCCCTGCTCGTGTGGGATGGCGGCCGCCGCGAGTTTGCGCCTCGCTACCGCGCCGGCTGGAGCGCCTTCTACGACGCAAACCCGCGCCGCCCCGCTCTCACGCATCTGCTCGCCCCATACGTAGCCAGCCGCTACCAGGCGGAGCCCGGGGTGGGCGAGGTCGGCTGGGGGCCCGGAGTGACTCAGCCTGCGTGGCAGTTTGGGCCGCCGTCTACGCATTCGACGGAGCGTGCGGCGAGGGCGGAAAGAGAAGGCTGATGATTTTTCGAAGTCGGAGGTCACCTCTCGAGATGTGTGGTGGAATTGCAAGTCAAACAGGAGCACAGGGTGACACACGCGCCAGAACGGCTCGTCTCATCGCACAGCATAGCCTTCGCGCGAGAGAGTCATATCCTGCCCTAGCAACGCGTGGTATCGTCGATGGCGCTTAGATGCCGCCGACGGGGCAACGGGTGTCTCCGGCTCACCCAAAGCAGGAGGAGCACTTGCGGGCAGGAGCGGCTGCGTTGTCAGTCTCGATGAGCGGATTGTCGAGCGCAGCGTCGAAGTATGTCGCGCTGGTCTGAGGCGCTTTGACCGCCGCTTGGGGCACCGGGACTGGGACCAGGAGGGCGCCGATCCCGACGACGAGAGCGAAGAGGAGCAGGAGAGCTTTCATGGAGATGGTGCAGCTCGTCAAACCCGAAGCCGCCAAAAGAATTTTATCGGACTGTTGGTCGCTGCGAGTTGGTGAGAAACTGCGAAGAGAGAGGAAGTGGTAGACGCCCGAGGGTGGGCGACGGCTAGCACCACACTCCTCTCCTTAAAATCCATGTGTGGTGGCGGCGTGCCGTCCTCCCATCCCTCCCTTTGCGCCTTGGGCTGTACGGTCTCTCTTTCGCTACGTGTTCAACGACGTTGAACAGTGTTTGACCACGGCGCTGTTCACAGCGCGCGCGGACGGCAGTTCTGCGAGTCCCGCTCGGCAGGACTTTTGTAAAGCATGCTTGGCAAGTTACAGACGCTAGTATCGACCTCAAGAAGAAGAAAGAAATCGACCTCGGAGACCCAAACTCGAATTAATAATTAAGGCTCAAACTATGGTCAAACAACCGTCAAACAAACAGGTCAACAACGAAAAGAGACTGGTGCGACCGCTAGATGGCGCTTCCCGCCGGCCCCACAAGGCTGCCCAGCCCCAGTAGCACACCGGCCACGTACACCGTTGCGCTGGAGTCGGTCAGTGAGGCACTAGACGGGCTATGGAACCATGCGCGCGCCGGCCGGACAGGCTGCGCGCAGAGGCCGCGCCGCCCCTCGATTTCGCACCTCCGCTCCGCGGCCGACTGAGGGGCCAGCTCGCCCGGCGATCTCTCTCTCTCTCAAGCCCAGCTGGTCCCCGGACACAGTTATTGTTATGGTGTTATGGCTCTCGGGGCATAGCAGCCCATAACATGTTATGGGCTGCTATGAGAGAGCCGTCCCGGATCCACGGTGTTATGGCCCGAGAGGCCACACCGAACTGCTCGCCGCTGGAATTTTCGCTTCGCGCGCTGCCGCGCGCGAGGTTCGGCATCGACCGCCAAATATTTTCTCTTTTGCCCTTAAGTTAAATTCAATAACATCAACCTGCCTCCTGACTGAGGCTGAGCGATGGCTTCAGATTTCTCAATCAAGACCCCTCTCCCCCTCCCCCCCCCTTCACGCAATTTGCTTCCCGTTTCTAACTCGTACTCTCTGCAGCTGCTGCCGCTCCCCTCCGTTTTAACATGTACCTTAAGGTCTGTCTTTCCCGCAATTTAACTCACGTCCTTTTTCTCTGAGCCCTGGCCTCGATCGACACCCTCGACACCGGGCCTCGACACCTCGACACCAGGGCTCAGCTTTTTCTTTCCTTTTTTCGTTCTCGAGGTTTCAAGTGCGCTTTTTAGTAGTTAAAGCTCCGTGCCAGTCGTGCGAGCGAGTAAGTTGTAAAACTCTTCCTCATCCGGATGACTCATCGATCGATCGATGGATGTTGCTGCTTTCCGCGTTGCTGATGCCCTGCACTCCTTTCCGGATCGGGCCGACCCGTATCGAACGTGAGCTGGCAGAGTTAGAGCAGGCTGCTGAGCAGGCCGGGCTCGACGGTGTGAGGTTGCCATTCGAGCTGGACCTGCTAGCCCTGGGGGGTGCGCGGCTAGGTGCGCGGTCGCAGGGCCATAATACGGGTCTCCAAGGGGCGAGGGTTAGCTCTGCGCTCCGGGTTTCCCCTAGCAGCGGAACGCCCCCTCTACTCGGAGCTAGTGATACGAGAATACTCTCCGAGGGTTGGCTCGGTGGCGCTGTGTTGGCTTCGCCGACGACCAATTTGCACTTGATCCGCAACAACAACAAATGATGAATGAGTTAGATTTGTTTGGGATTTGATATTTATTGTGGGTAGAAGTAATACACCTATTGGCAAGAAAAAAAGCAAAAGGAAAAGGTGCTTGTTTTTGGCGCTGTGTTGGCGCAGCCGGCGTGACAAGATTGCTTAGTGTGCACACGCTCCTGGCTTCAATGGGTTTTGCGCTTGTCGCCACCGCGCTCTTCCCGGCCGCCGCTGCCCTCTCCGTCCAAGCACCGGCTCGGCGCCGCCTGGACGGGCCTCTCACGTGCCCAACGAGCGTGTGCGACTTCATCTGCGAGCCCTCCGAGTGCACCCTCCCGTCCTGCACCACGCTCTGCTCCGAGTGCTGCTCGCCGGCAGCGACGCCACCGCCACCTGCGCCGCCGCCACCTGCGCCGCTTGCGGGCTCGCCACGTTACGTGGCGTGTGGCAGGACCGGCCGGTGCGACGAGAGCGACCGGTGGGCAGCTCTGTCCGAGAAGCACGAGGTGCGGTGTTGCTCCGACTCGCGAATCGACGGCTGGAAGAAGAAAGATGGGTGCTCCGTGTGGAGCGAGTCCGACGACGATGAGATGGGAGGCGAGTGCCACCACAACAAGAACTTTGCGCAGGCCTCGACCATCTGCGAGGACGCGGGCGCACGCCTGTGTACTCGGGCGGAGCTGCAGGGGAATTGCGCACGCGGGTCAGGCTGCGGCCACGACCGCGATCTGATCTGGTCAGGCACGGAGAGCGAGGCGGCCGTCCCCCCGCCGTCGGCTGCTCCACCGCCGCCCTCCTCGGCTGCTCCGCCGCCGCCCGTCGCCGCCTCGCCATCCGCCTCCCCCTCCTCCGGCTGCGACAGCGACGGATGGTGCCCAAGTCCAGACGGGCCCACGCAGCAGTGCCGCGATGACGCTGGGCCACCGTGGGCCGACGACCTGGAGACCTACGGCCCTAACGTCCGCTACCACGACAACACGCCCGCCGAGCCCATCCTGCCGGCAGATGGCGCTTGCCCCGGCGCCCTTGCCGGTGCGTGCGCCTCCAAGAGCGTCAAGGCCGCCTACCTCGACGGACCGATCGACTGCGGCGGGCAAGGTTGGTTCTGTCGCATCATGCCGCAGCCCGGCTGGGGCGACTGCAGCTACGGCGACTGCAATTTTGCCAACTGCGCCACTCCTGATGCGGACGAGCTCGACACGGACGGCCACTGCCACGGCTCGGACGATGACAGCACGTACGGCTGGTGGGTGCGCGATCACCATTTTAGAGGCTATACAGGCACGCTCAACTGCTGCTGCGGGTGAGCGGCGCCCTTCGCCCGCGCCGCCTCCGACACCTTCCCTCGTCTCTGACCCGCGCCCTCTTTGCAGGTGGGGCGCGCCAATGTACGGCGTCGTCAACCGCTGTGACTACCGCAAGCCCGTCAGCGAGGCCGAGGTCTCCACCTCCCGCCGAGAGAGGCGCCTGGGCTCTACCCATGGTCTGCAGCCGAGAGAGTTCCACCGTAGGTTGCGACTTGCCGCGACGCAAACGAAGAGCACGACGTCGACTTCAACCCCACGTGCGACGCCCACCCTCTCAAGCCCGACCCCGTCACCAACGGCGGCATGTGCTGGACGGTGCGCAGTTTTGCTGCCAAGTGAGGTCCAAGGACCACATGAGGTCGACCTGAGGTCGACGCGGGCGACGAGGCGAGGGGGGTGTCCTGGTGAAAGGGCGAGGGAAGGCCAAGGCGTGGCGCGGCGGGCGAACCCGAGCGACATGCCGACATGTTCATTAAGTGGTGTACCTACGGTCTTACGCCTGTGTGGCAGTACTGCTCTGGCTAGTGCCATTTCACTCTGACACGCTAATGGCTTGAAAACGCCTCCAACGGAGCTCCGTGTTGCTCCCAGCGCCCTCCCCCGCGCTCCCTGCGGCCATGGCCGATGCTCCTAGTATGAGAGGTCATCTGGCTACCGCGAGAGCGACCCAACTCGTCGACATCGTCCGATGGTTGTGCCTCAAAGTCAGCATCCGGAGGCTATCGTGGGGTCGAGCCGGCAGTAGCCGTGACATGTGGTTCCACCACCCCTCGTAGGCTTTGCCTCTGACCGCCACCGTTCCCAGGCTGCCTAATGGGATGGAAAGGAAGGCTCGGCGAGCGTATAGAAGCGTGCTCGACCTCGTCGTGGCAACCTGCACGGCAGCGCTGGTAGGCGCGATGAGCGTCGTGCCACCTGACCCAAGACGGGTCGCAGGCGTCGTACCGAGCGCGTCGAGACCGTGTCCTGATGTGATCTGCACGGGTGAGTCACGTCGGCGTCAAAGGAGCGACGTGCGACCTGTCAGAGCTTGATCTCCGATCTCAGCGGCGTCGAGTCATCTCCGGCGCGCGACAAAGGTACATCCACAGGAGTCGCAGCTGCCTCTGGAAGGCACCGACATGTACCTTTTTGCGCAAATGGTCAAATCAAGGTTTTGTAACGCGAGCTGTGCCACAGTGAAATGGCACTAGCCTCTTCCCCCCGACGTGGCTCCTGTCTCTGCGCGTTTGCGCGCGCGCATGCTCACACCGGCCTATGTACGTACGTATGTAGATTATGTGGATGTATTTTCTTTGGCGTGGAGATGCGAGGGTCGCCCCCCCTTGCCCGTGCCCCACCACCTTGTGTGTGTGGAGACGTTTTACCGCGGTCGCCAGCTCTCCAGCTCGTCGTTTGGTCACTGGGGGAGTTTTGTAGAGGTGTTGGGGTTGTTGTTGACCTCTTGACCGATGCATTGTTGTTCACCTACAAAGAATTTGAATTTTACAAACAACAAAGCTCCCGACCTCTCTCTCTCTCTGTAGACTGACTCTCTCCAACGCAACCTCTTTCAGTCCGCTCGGGAATGTTCATAAGACAAAAAATGCAAGAAGGAAGGCGGGAGAATAAATCCGGCTTCGCGGGTCGAAATTTTACCCAATTCGTTTTTCCGGCCGTCCCACAGCCAGGCGGCGATCGATGGCGGACCCCGAGCAACAGAAGGAGGAGGCGTCGCCCGAATCAGACAAATCGCGCTGGCGCACAGCACTGCTCGTCATTGCATTGCTTCTCTGCGGCTTGGGCGTCGGCGTGGGGGCTGGGCTGGGCCTCGGCCTCCGGGAGGACGGCGAGGGGCACCACAAGGCAGAGGAGGATCTTCAGGGGGTCCGCCCGAGCCTGCACCCGCACGACCGCAACGACCACCTCACGGGGGAGGCCGGCCATCGCCACCCCGGTGAGCAGGAGAGGATCCTGTGTCCCTCCGGGGACAACAACGTTGAAGAGGCGCTTGGGCAGCTCGAGAACCTCGGCAAACAGATTGAGACGTGCCACAAAAGAGTAGATGCAACAGCGCCCGTTTCAAAATGCCAGTCTTGCAGCGAGCCCTCCTCACCTGCAGTATTATGTGACGCCGCCTCGCTACACCGCCTCGCTACACCGCCTCGCTTCGCTCCCTTCGCAGGTGGTGCGCTGACGTTGTCTCGGCCCTCGAGGACGAGTGTCCGTTTCGGTGCGCTCAACCGATGAGCACGCTGCGGCGGTACTACGCGGAGTGCGATGGTGTGCAGCCGCACCCCATCTACGAGCAGCTTGAAGCCAAGGGTACGTGTGAGCCGAGAGGACATCACCACGACCAAGGCGACCACGACCGAGGCAAAGCCAGCGGAGAACCACCGATGATGGACAGCGATGATGGACGGTGAGAGTCGGAGGCAGTGGGCTCCACTTAGAGCGGTGGCCGTGGTCGCCGCGCGCCGAGAGGCTCGGAGCCACCTGGTTATTTATTGGTTTGAGACACATTGATTGCGGCGTGACAACCGCTTTTGAGCTCCCCGCTCGTTGAGCGAGGCAGAGTTGGTACTTCAGATCTTGAGAGGTATGAATGACGTAGTTGTGGGGGGGAGGGGAGGGGCGGCAGTGCATGTGTCGTGTGTAAGGGCACACGACGCTCATTCGGTCGTATCTATGCGGAAACTTAACCGGTAATCCGCCCGCATCTCGTGACGGCGCGCAACCCCGCGAACGACCGGGACGCACACGGTCGGGGACCGCGGTGGAGGCTCGACGATGGCGAGCGGGGGTGTGACGACGTGTACTGGTGACATTTTAAGGCTTCAACGACGGAGCACGGAGGCAAAGCCGTCCCAGCGCGAGCCGCGAGGCCCTAACGAGCTAGCACGGGAGAGAGAGAGAGATTTTTAGAAGCACGGGCCGAGGCCACTTCTTCAGGCTGGGAACCGAGGGGTGGCCACCCTCCTCGTCGAGGTGTGCGCCAAACCACTTCGGCGGCGCGCGCTCCCCTGTGCGTCTGTGTCACCCTCCAGGCCCTCACGCCCCCCCGGCATGTCCACCGGCAAGGAGGCTTCCGTGCCGAGTGACGCGGCGGCCCCGGACAGACTCAACGGCAGCGTCGGCGCCGCTGCCAAGCGGCCGCGCGACAGCGAGGGTATTCACCACTTGAGGTGGGACGGTCGAGGCACACGACGGAGCCATCGCGAGCGGCCTTCTACACCGCCCGCCGCCGGCGCAGGCGCGGAGCGCTACGGCGGACCTGCTTCAAACCCCAAGGCGGAGGCGCTGAGCGAGAATCTGGGCTGCGCGCACGCGCATGGCTGCTGCGAGAGCTCGGAGGCGGAGCTTGCTCGACGAGAGCTGCTCGAGCTCATCACTGCGCCCGACGCTGACGTTGGTGGCGCGATCAAGCTCTTATTTTCTCAGCCTCGCACCTCTTCTTCCCGTCGCACGCGGGCTGTCGCAGGGCACTTGGAATATGACTCGGGCGAGGATGCGTCAGCACGAGTACTATTTCATCGTGCAGCGCAGGCTGGCTCGCCACTACTGTTGGCTGGAGCTCCTCTCCCGCCCGACGTCGGTGATGGCGCATGACACGCGATCACTGTACGCATCGTGCTTCCTGTGTGTGTCTCCCCCCTCCCCGCCGCAGAGCCGCTGCTGGGTGTCGGCCGCGCATCTCCTCACGTCCCGCGCCTGTCCTTTACGGCATTTGTGTGGCCCATTTTCTGTGCATCGTTAGAAGCTGCGCAGGCCTCCCCGGTTACAATCGCCGCGCGCACACGACACGCGACAGCCGACACCTCGACAGGAGAGATTTTGACGTTCACACTTCTCGCGTGAGACTTGACTTCAGACGATATGCGAGACAGATATATCTCAGAGTGAGAGGACAGCCTGAGCCTCGGAGGAGAGACGCAGCTCGCAGGTACAGGCGTGACAGACAGTGCACTCTCACACACGAGACACACTGATGGAAAGGGCGGAGCGGCGGCGGCGACGGCGGCAGCGGTGCGCGGGCGGAGCAGCGACTGCCCGGGCGGTCGCTGCTCCGTCGGTCCGTGCCGGAGCGCGCCATCTGCGCAGGGTCGCGCGTCAGGCCAGGGGGCAGGGCGCAAGCGTCCCCCTGGTGGCGGCGCAGGGAAACGCGGAGACGCGAGCGTTTCGCACGCCGCGAAGCGGACGGTGACGGCGCGGTGGGTGACGGGGCTAGAGAGCAGCCAACACCCGACGCTCGCAAACGACGTCGGTGCTGGACGCCTGCGTAGGGGCCGCGGCAAGGCGGAGCTGGCTGAGGCACCAAGCGCCGGCGGGGAGCTCCCGGACTCATGTGTGCGAGCGCATGCCCTCCCACCTAATCACCGCTGCATAGTATGGCTTCCGAGGCTGAACCGCTCCGCAACGGTTGGTAGCTCGACCTGCATTGACAAAGTGCGTTTACCTGTCAGTCGTCGACGTCGCGTGCGAGATCCAATATCGCCGATCGATAGCAATCTGAGAGGATAGGGATCCGTGTCAGCATGCCGTAGCCGAGGAGTGCCGCGCTTGGGGGTTGGGGCGCGCGCGCATTGGCTTCACATTCGGTCTCAGCGCTCGGGCCGGCGCCGGGGGTCATGGGGTGACACTCGGTCACGCTCCGGCGCTTCGGGGGGGCTACAGCGGGCAGTGCGCGAAACCACTTCGCATGGCCACCCGCGACCCCACTTTGGACCGGCGAGCGCACTTGCTCGGTTCCCAGCCTGAAAATGTCACCTCGGGCCACCCACGGCGCGGCGCCACCCCGGTGCGGGTATTGACTGCAACCCGCTTCGCTCGCGCGCGGGAGACGGCGCGTTTTAGAGTAATGAGGGCATGAGCACTGGATAGGGTCGATTCCGCATGGTACCGGGACCCCTCGCTCGAGGGTCTCGCCCTCCCTCGCTGGGGGGGAACCCCGGCAAAGCGCGCTCATCATCCCTGACACATGGCGTCGAGGCTGTTGCATCGCCCCGCCCTCCTCCGCGCGGCCCCGGCGGCGGCCGCGCGGCTCCGCTCTACGGCCGTTGAGTCCGCCCTCAGCTCGGTCGCCGACGGGCTCGGCCTTCCGAGCAAGTACGGGCACTACATCAACGGGCAGTTTGTTGAGCCGGCGAACGGACAGTACTTCGACAACATCTCTCCCATCGACGGGCAGCCCTTCATTCAGGCGGCGCGTGGGACAAAGGCTGACGTCGACGCCGCCGTGCTGGCGGCCAACACCGCCTACCGCACGACCTGGTCCAAGGTGTCGGTGACGGAACGCTCGAACATGCTCCTGAAGATTGCCGACCTGCTCGAGGAGAACCTCGAGCGACTCGCGACGATCGAGTGTGTGGACAACGGCAAGGCGCTGCGCGAGACAAAGGCGGCCGACATCCCGCTCTCAATCGACCACTTCCGCTACTTTGCGGGAGTGATCCGGGCGGAAGAGGGCGCTGCGTCGGAGATCGACGCAAACACGCTGTCGCTCTCCATCCAGGAGCCGCTCGGCGTCGTCGGCCAGATCATCCCCTGGAACTTTCCGATCCTGATGGCGGCCTGGAAGCTGGCGCCGGCGCTCGCGGCGGGCAACTGCGTTGTCCTCAAGCCGGCGGAGCAGACACCGACGAGCATCATGGCGGTGATGGAGCTCCTCTCGACCGTGCTGCCGCCCGGCGTCGTCAACGTCGTCTCTGGCTTCGGCGGCGAGGCGGGCGAGGCGCTCGCGACCAACAAAGGGATCGCAAAGCTCGGCTTCACCGGCTCAACGGCCACGGGGAAGAACATCCTGCATGCGGCGGCGGAGAGCCTGATCCCGACGACGCTCGAGCTGGGCGGCAAGAGCCCGTCCCTCTTCTTCTCCTCCGTCCTCGACAAGGACGACGACTTCCTTGACAAGGCGGTGGAGGGGGCGGTGCTCTTTGCCCTCAACCAGGGAGAGGCGCGAGGTAGCCGAGATCTGGCCGAGATCTAGCCGAGATCTGGCCGAGATTCGGCCGAGAGCCGCTCTAACCGGCCCAGCCCCCTCTGATTGCCGCAGGTGTGCACGTGCCAGTCTCGGCTGCTCGTGCAGGAAGACATCTACGAGCGCTTCATGGAGAAGGTCGTCGCGCGCACGGAGGCGATCAAGACGGGGGACCCGCTCGACGAGGCGACGATGATGGGGGCGCAGGTCTCGAGCTAATTAGCATTAAGTTTCGCGTCTAGCAGCCGAGCCGTGATTACGACGGTGGGGGCGCAGGTCTCGAGCGCGCAGCACGAGAAGATCGTCAACTACATCAACCTCGGCACCTCGGAGGGCGCAAAGGTGCTCACCGGCGGCGCGGCCAACGACGTGGTCAACGGCGGCTACTACATCAAGCCCACCATCCTCTCCGGCACAAACGACATGAAGATCTTCCAGGCGTCCGCCTCCGCCTCCCTCGCCGCCGCCGCCTCCCTCGCCGCCGCCGCCTTCGCCTTCGCCTCCGCCTCCGCCTCCGCCACCGCCTCGCCACCTCCACCTCCTTCCTCGCCACCGCCGCCCTCTCCTCCTGCCCCCCCCCCCTCCCCCCCGCCCCCTCTTAGGAGGAGATCTTCGGCCCCGTCACGAGCGTCACCACCTTCAGGGACGAGG